TATTTATGTTGATCATAAGTGTGTAATTTTCTTTTATTTTATTATTTTAAATTTTATTTTTGAAATAAAAACAATCACCGACCATTGAGAAAAGGATGAAAGGTAATTGTAGTCACCTTATCCCTCTAGCCACGAAGGTGGCTTGACTGTCTTTGTCTATCTAGATTTGGACATAAAAAACATGTCCATGTCCAAATTTGGACATATAGATCTATGGTTAAAAAAAGCTTTTAAGAGATAAAAATAAAATAAAATAAAAAATTGTATATTTAGATCCACATAAACATTAGAGCAAATATCAATTTTGGTTCTACGAGTATTAGTAAAATGATAATTTTGATCCACATATTTAATTTTTACCAATTTTTATCCACGACTATTGTTTTAGTGCCAAAATTCATCACGAGTTACCCCTTCATTTAAGACATGCCGAAATATAAAATTATTAAGGGTATTTTCATCATTTTCAAATTAAGATTCGAATTTGAGCATGCATAAATAAAAGGATTTAAGCTCTAAGATCTATCCCAATTCACAGCTCTCCTCCTCAAATTAAGGTATGATTTGGAGGAGAATTGCGAATTGGGATGGATCGTAGGGCTTAAATCCCTTTATTCATGCTCAAATTGGAATCTTAATTTGAAAAGAACAAGAATGTCCTTAAATTTTTTAGATTTTGGCATGCCTTAAATAGAGAGGTGACCGGCGTGATGAATTTTGGTACTAAAATAATAGTCGTGGATGAAAATTGATACTAAAACAACAGTCGTTGATGAAAATCGGTAAGAATTAAACATATGGATCAAAACTATCATTTTGCTAATACTTAGGACCAAAATTGGTATTTGCTCTAAACATTAAGTCACTGCGTGTTTGTCTAATCAGTGTCATATCCGTGATAACTTGTTAAACAGGTAAGATTATGACTTAATTGCACTATTTTGTTGGTTTAGGGTTATTCCATTGTAGGTTTTTTTTTTTTTTTTTTCCAGGTAAAGACCCTAATTACACTATTTGTTAGATTTAGGGGGGTGTATTCAATCATGACTTTTGTAGAGTTTTAAAGACTTTTAAAATGATAGATTTTAATAAATTTTGATTGACTTTCATAGAGTCGTTCAAAACTTTTTAAAACTTTATAAGACTCTATAAAAGTCTATATAAAAAACTTCTATAGACTTTTATCAACTTTTTATTTAAAAAAGTCTACTAAAGTCATTGAAATTCTAAATTGAATACATCCTTACAAACTTTTAATGATTTTGATTCTTATCATTTATATAATTTTCTTACAAAACATTTATAATATATCATAAATTTTTTTTATAACATAGTTCTTCACCCACATCAACATTATTATTTATCTCCATAGTATGTAGGTTGAGACTTATATGCTAATTACTTATATATATTATTAATAAACATAAAAAAAAATTATTTCATTAGAAATTCATAACAATATTGAATAATAAAATTTATAATAAAAGAATTGATCAAATAAAATATTTAAAAATATAATTACAAGTTGCATAAAATAAAAAAAAATAAAAATTTAATATATATATATATATATATATATATATATATATATATATATATATATATATATATATATATATATATATATATAATTATACTTGATATATTGCTAGACATCACGCAAAGAACTATTATTTACAATAAGAGACTCCGAACAACAAGAAGGTGCTACTGTTTGCAACCCCAAATTGTTGTTGCGAACAATAGTTCGCTATTCGTAGTAACTTGTTAAAAATAGGAAAAATATATATTACGAATATAAACATAAAAAGAATAAAAATCAAAATATATAAGTATTTATATGAATATTATGAAACATATACTAAAATTTGATGATGAAAAATTTGCTTTATTCATGTATTTAGGGAGAATTAGAGAAAATTAGAGATAAAAAATTCACTGAAAAAATAAAAATCAATATAAATAAGCAATAATGAAGTAAAAATAATATTATTTCGAATTTTTAGAGGAAGATTGTAAAGTTTAGGAGAGAGAAAAAAATTGGTTGAGTTTTAGGTATGAGGAAAATATGGGATAATGAAGAAAAAATTAATTTTATTAAATTTAGATAGGTTTATAAAGTTTAAATAGGGAGAAAAATAGAGTTTAAGTAGAGAGAGAAAACATTCAAAGTTGTTAGAAAGAAAATTTTGAAATCTTGGGGTTGATGGTTGGATTTCAACTATTTATATTTGAGAAGGAAAAGTCTACAAAAGTCTTAAAATTAAAAAGTTTACAAAAGTTCATAACTTTTTGAATACCACATGACTTTTAAAGACTCTATAAAAATCTTAATCGAATACCACACGACTTTTAAAGACTCTTTAAAAATTTTGATTGAATACTGCCTGACTTTTAAAGACTCTCTAAAAGTTTGAATTGAATACCCCAAACTTTTAAAGTTTATAAAAATCTTTAAAACTCTATGAAATTCATGATTGAATACACCCCCTTAGAGAACAATTTGACACTTTTCATTTTTAATAACCTCTACCTCGTGTTGAATCCAGATTCATTTCACGTAGTGAGGATATTGAATTTCATATTAAATAAAAAGTCAATTCAAGCTTTTCTAATCTCATTAAATGAGAGATAGTCAACCCCAGAGCAAATGAGATGGCATATATTTTTCAGCAAAATTAAACAAGTGAATTATGTTTAAAAAAAAAAAAAAACAAGTGAATTATTATGATGTTTTGACTTTTGATACCAAATTTTAAAGAACATTTCCCACGAATATGAAGAGCTGACTTGCCTATAAAGATGAAGCACGAAATATGAATAATAGTCAACCAGAGACCTAAAGAACTCACAGTATCATAACAGGTATGCTCAAACTCAAATCTTTTCTTACCATTCTCATTTTACTAGCAACACTATCCTTGATTCTGTGTTTCTCATTTGGGGATTTAATGAAATCTTTAATGCTAATAATGAGAGGTTATATATGGGATTGTGAAGTCCCATCATGTTTTCTGGGTCCTACAGATTTCCATCTTTTCATCTGTTCAAGAATCACTTATTATCTTGCACTGCCAAACAGGGATTTTGACTAAATAATTTCCTTTTCTATATTATGAATTTTCATTCTCTTTGGGTTTTGGCATTTTGGGCAATTTTAGATCTGCATATCTGCCCTTTTGGAGATGATTAAATCTAGACTGGAAAGACTTTAAAATGGTTCTGGAAAGTCAATGCAGCAAAAAACTGAAACATTGAGGATACTGCAGTAAACTATGTTGTCTGTTCTGAGGTTAAAGAAAAACATGTGTTTTACTGTGGCAGGTGAAACGTCTGAAACGTTTTTAGATCTCGAGCCATCCACTGCATTATGCGTATGATCAAGCGCTTATTATGTTTGCAGCCAAGGCATCTATCTAGTATTGATGATAATGCCACTCTTGCTTCCGAGACTGCTTGTAAGATAACGTCTCTTCCCAATAATGATTCATAAGAAAAAAGTGTTAGGATAAAGCGCCAAAAGCTATAGCTAGTACTGAAGGCGCAACTTTATTTCTTTATACTGCCACACACATTTTCGAAAAGCTGGGTGCTGGACTTGGCCTTTTAAGCCCTTTAGGCCTCGCCCCCGGGTGCTAGACTTGGCCATTACCGGCCTCTGGCCAACAAAAGGAAAGCCAATAACATACTGAAACAGCAATTAGTGTTTGTTTTGACAGTTACGGTGAACGAAGTGGAGGCTTTGCATATCCTATATGAGCAGCTAAGCCGTTCCATAACTGATGACGGTCTTATCCACAAGGTATTCCTTTCACATTTTCCACGGTGAAGTTCAAAGACCACATTGTTTACCTCGATTATTGATTTCTAGTACAGGAAGAGTTTCTGCTCGGGCTTTTCAAATCTAGCAGCAAGCAGAATTTTTTTGCAGATAGGGTGAGAACATTGATTTCGTCAACGCATTCTTGAACTCTTCTGCACAGTGTAGTTTCAACTAACATTATTGCAGTTGTTTAAGTTGTTTGATCAGAAGGATAACGGGGTGATTGAATTCGGAGAGTTTGTTCGGGCATTAAATGTATTCCATCCAAAGACACCAGAAGCTGACAAAATTGCATGTAAGACACATCTTTCCAAGTATAATTTAGGGCATGGCTGCAGTTTTTGCTAAAGACTTATCGTCTTGCAGTTGCGTTTAGATTGTATGACCTAAGGCATACTGGTTATATTGAGCGCGATGAGGTACAGAATCATATACCCGAGTGCTCATTATTCTAGCTTGTTTTGCTTGGAAATTTTCTTTTAATAGTTTTCGGTTTATTTTGCGTTTAATCATGTAGTTGAAGGAAATGGTATTGGCTAGTCTGACTGAATATGATGTTATGCCTACAGAGGATATAATTGAAGCAATTGTGGATAAGGTTAAGAACTAAACTCCTTTATTTCATCTGTTCTTTTTATCTGTTCTTTTGTCTGTTCTTGATAGCTAACTGATGTAATGTTTTAGAGAACAGACAATCTTAGAGGCGGATATAAACGGGGATGGGAGAATTGATCCCGAAGAGTGGAAGGCGTTTGTTGCAAGAAATCCTTCTCTCATAAAGAACATGACACTGCCATCTCTAAAGTGAGAACAATACACTTTCTGTCAAAAAACTGTGTTCTTAAGCAGTTACAGTTTTTGTCATTTTGGACTAAATACTTTAAGTCTTTACGTATATTCCAGGGAAATAACTCTCGCATTTCCAAGCTTTGTGATGAGCACTCGCGTTCAAGACTGGGAACTGGTTCTGTGACAGAAATTTGTCATAGGCATTCGGAGGAAGAACGTTAAAGAGACTGATTTTAACCATATAGAGGAGTTCGAGTTTTGAACCATGTATGGATATGACCAAGTACTTTTCATTATATCTGATATCTGTACACATTTCTCCTAAAATTTTACTGTTTCTGCATTGAAACTAAAGAAAAAAAGGGCAAAAGATATTTGCAGATCTTAAGGGCAAAATACCTCAGAGCTTATATCATATCCAGCAAGTTCATGGGATAGCATATACTTGAATGCAGGCCAGACCAGATGTTATCAGCCAGGATTGCGTTTACTGCATCGGTTGGATGAAATTGGTCCCACCATATATGGTTAGACGCGTTGCTGCAAGCCATCTCAGGAGACATACATGAAAACCAAGCTCTACGCCTCCCAAAACCGCAGCAAGCCTCTTCATTAACACTGAAACCTAAAATAAAACGAAAACAGAAAATCACTGATCCTAATCCATATCAGATGATCGATTTTTACTATGCCAAAGATTGAATTGCTCTACCATAGCGATGAAGATTCTCTATAATCTCCATGGAACTCTGAAACGCGTCGCAGAAGATGATTTTTGCATCTGCAAGCTCTTGACCGAGTTCATCAACAATGTACCTCAGTGCTAAGTTAAACTCCACTATCATATCGTTCATTATTTCCACGCAATGTCCAGGCTGGTTACGATATCGCCAGATGTAATAGGGAGCACAACCCATTGGCCCCAATCCCATCACAACCACTTTTCTTACATCAGCATCATAGAGGTTCTGTTCAATCAACATATCAGGAATGTTCTCTAATACCCAAAAAAAAAAAAAAAATACAGTAATAATGGTGATAGAACAGTCTGTTTAGTGTTTACCACAATCTCCTGCTTTAAACCCTGAATCAAGAGCTGGTTGAAACTCCAAGGAAGATAAAGAGACTGAGGATCGGATCTATTATGATGATAGTAACGAATGTAGTCATTGGTTCCAATAGAAATGTAGAATATAGAGTTTGAGATCAGACGAGCTCCTTCTTCCTCACCCATGCTTAGTTTAATCTGCTGAAACGTCTCGATTGCATGCTGAATCTGGTGTGTAAGTGAGCTAAACCCACCCTGCAAACAATTGAGGATAAAACGATATGATCAAGAACAGCCACAAGACAGATATGATCAAACCTGATAAGAGTTTGTGTTATGTGAATCATAAGTTGCAATTTAGAGCAATCTTGAAATAATGGAGGGAAGGAAATGTACCCATTCAGAGCCAGTGGATAAAACGATGCTAGCTTCAGCAGAAGCATAATTCACTCCCTGGATCAGATCATCAGCGGAATCGGGTTTCCCATGATAACCCGGCACAAATGGCAACCCTAGATTCAACGCTAATCCAGAATTGAACAACATCTTGAAATTAGAACTATGAAAAATCGCAACTAAGAATGCAATCCATAACACAATTACATATGAAACAAACAAGAAATCAAGAACTCAATCTTATAATTCCTCTACTTTCTCAGTGAAAAATGCACTGCGATTCAAGAGCAAGTGAAAACATAAAACAGAAAATTTCATTTGTGCTCTAAGAATCCGAACAGAAAACTAAAGCAACTAGAGAACTAGAGAAGTAATTACCAAGATAATCAACAGCGATTCGTCCATTGGAGAAGCGGCCAGTAGGTTGGCGAGTGTCGAAATCCCGTCCGTAAGGAAGTCTATCGGCCCGAGCGAAGTTGCCGAGAAAAGTGTGGTTTCCACAGTCGACGGAGGAGTCTCCGATCACGAACAACGCCGGAACCAGCGGCGGAGAAGAAGGAGGAGAGTTGGGAGACGGAGAAGGGGCACTGTTGATGAAACCTTGAGCGCATCCGAGAGGCAAAATAATCAGCAAAGTTGCGACGAACGCCATGGCTGTGCCTGTGGCTTCAGAGAGAGGCAGACACAGTTGGCGGGAATCCTAACGATTTAACGAATTGTGAAGGTGAGAATTAAATTCCACTTATCACAAAATCATATGGGCAACTTAAATACATTTATGTGAAGTTAATGATTACTCATTGATTAGTGGGTTCAATTGCTTGCCTACAAAATGTAAAATCTCTGACTCTGATCTTTACATCTCGACTTAACAGAATTTGTAAAAGTGGCCTGCATAGGCTTAGCTAAATGGTTTAGTGAGCAGTATTTAGGAGAAGAGACCAAGTTTCAAATTTCGGCAATAACAGTGTGAGAATTACGTTCAAAGTGAGCAAATTCTTTGTGCGCACTGGCATTTGGCCCTGTCCGCTGAACCATTGAGTCACCGTGATTTACATCCTTCCAAATGCTCTGTCAAGCCGAGTGTGGAGCCCTTAGAGTTAGGGATTCAACCTTTTGGGAGAAAAATTTGTAAAAGTGATAAATCAGTGACGGAATGACTCATTAAGTGACATGACTATCATCCGGTGCCCACAAGGAGCTCACCATTCTCACACTAAATTTTTTCCTTTCAATTTTCAAGGTGACTCTTCAATATATATATCCCATCCATACAAGTTTCTAAAAATAAAAAAGAAATTTTTATTATAACTACGCATATAACATATGACCATAGTGTATTTATTCATTCATTAAATATAGGTTTGATGGCATCTTTTGGTATAACTTTGAAACTTGGGTGTTATAGAATATGAAGAGGCGTGATTATGGAGCATGTAGAAATGATAACGGCTACGGGCTATGTATCATATATTCATATGTTAAGTTCTTTGAACCCAAATTAAAACCAAATACAAATTTTAAACTAAGTTGTAAATCGAATTGAACTTGTAATCTTGTAATTATATAGTCAATTGTCTAATCAATTTGATTAAAATTGTCTTCGTATACAAACACTTTGATGTGCGGGAAGAAATATTGTACAAGGGAATGAATAATGACGTGCAAAAAGTACAATAAATATGATTAAATGTATCATAATTTAGAACATAATATTTCAACCTATTGTAGTTTAGGAAAAATCTCAGAGTTTAAGTCATTACTATAGTGATAAAATATATACCTTGGGTCCGTGTTCCCATTTATAGCCGGGTCGGGGCTAAAAGGTTCGGTCCCGATCTACGGGTCGAGGTCAAAGGTGACGGGTCAAACCCGTCACCTTCTTGTGCCTATAAAAGGGCATATAGCCCTTCAAGTTGGCAATTTATATCGTGCACTAGGGCGCACATTGCATTGTGCGCCCTGATGCAAAACGACGTCGTTTCATTTTTTTATTTTTTTTTTGAAATTTCGCTACCCTGTGTTAGCAGTTAATTTTTTTTTTTAAAAAAATCTCATGTTCAAAAATGTACATAATTTTATACTAGAATACACATAATTGTATACATGAATGTACATACTTTTAACATAATACACATAAACTTTTAACATAGTACACATAAATTTCCTATTTCGGATGTACATAATTGTTTAAAATGAAGTACATAATTGTATAAAAAATGTACATAATTGTATAAACAAATACACATAATTGTATAAACAAATATACATAATCACGTCAACTCCCTACATAACTTACCAAAACGACGTCGTTTTGGAAGGCGCGGGACGCACAGTGTTATGTGCGACGCACTAGTACATAAACAGTCATTCGCGTCCAAAATTAAGGCTAATACGAGTTCAAAGTTGCTTGGACGCGTATGTAGGAGACGCTAATTGTTACAATTATTTGGACGCTCAAAACTACAAAATGCGTCCAAAGTTCAGGAACTTTGGACGCGTATAGTATTTTTTTTTAAAATAAATAAACACTATACGTGTCCGAATTATCTCATCCACATTTATTTTCTTGAAATGTATTATGGGTCATTACTCATTACCAAACTCCATAATTTCTAAACAATCACAAGTCAAGTCCATTAATTAGCAATCATTTAAAAACATATAAAGTACATTATTTTAACTCATAAAATACTTATTTTAATACATAAAGTACATTATTCTAACTCATAAAATCATTATCTTATCCCAAAAATTTCATTATTCTAACACATAAAGTATATTATATATTATTCTAACTCATGAAATACATTATTGTAACACATAAAGTACATTATTTTAACTCATAAAATACATTATCTTACCCCAAAATGTTTATTATTCTAATACGAGTAATTCTACATGAACTCCCATATCCTACTCTCATTTTCTACTCCCTATGACATGACATGCCTTGATTGCTTAATTTAGTAGGGGGTCATGATGTTTAGGACATCCTTAGATTTTTGTTGTAATTTTTGAGAAGTTTTTGTAAGTGTAATTAGGAAAGATAAGATGGGATGGAAGAAAAAAAATGAAAGAAAAAAATAATAAAAGCTGATTTAAAAGAAAATAAAAAATCACTTTGCCTCGATTGTATGTAAACCACCCCTTCACCCCCACCCCCTAAAGTAGTAAAGAAGGGCTCTTTGGGGTCTAATTTTCTTTCTATCTGACAGGATAAATAAACAGGAAGGGGTGGAAGTGGACCCCACATTTCTGCAACATGCAAATAGAGATTGAGAGAGGCTGGCAAAGTGGACCCTACAATTCTGCAAAAAAACTCATATTTGCAAGACATATTTTATCGTCTCTCTTCATCTCTCTCTCTTCCATGTTGGTAAAAATTTTCTCACAAATCATGAGAAACTAACCTTCTAAATAGGGATAGCCTTATTCATTCCTTTTTTTCTTCCTCCAATCAAATTTGAACACACATGACAATAAAAGTTTAAAGTATGTTTTTGGGAGTACATAAAGTAATTTCCTTCTAACACACACACGGAGTAAGAATTTTATTTTATTATTATTTTTTTTTAACATCAAATCAACGTCATTTTAGACCGTGGTCTATACAACTATGTTGACCACATTCTACACAAAAATTTGCCGTATAAGATAGCCCAATTATTCAAACGACTTTGGCCCAACTTAATCAATTACTTAAAACATTGGGACAATCTATCAAAACTCAATCATCCGGCAAATTATTGTGTGGATCATGTCCACACAATGTTATATGGACCATAATAAAAAAAATATATTTTTAATATACGAAAATTACATTATTTATGTATTGAATATACATTATACCAAATAATATACTTTTAGTATTCAAATAATGTACTTTTTCTAAGTATAATGTACATTTTTAACATATTAAAAGTACATTATTTCTGTACTGAATATATATTATTAGCTAAAGTGTCATCCCGCACTATGAACTATATTGGATTGTTCATGCCGCACCTTGAACTTTCATAATGTATATTTAGATCCATGTACCATTAATTTTTTTTCATCTAATATTTTTTGTAAGTTTTCCGGTTACCAGAATGACATGGCAATGGTAATATGCTGATGTGGAACCTCTTTCATATTTCAGTGGGCCCTAAATCCCTAAATTAATCCACGTAATACTTTCTGATTGAAAACGCGAATTGAATTATAGCTGTTACCGCTGTGTTTTCCGCCATCGTCGCAACTCAGGAGCTCAGATATGCTCTAGCACCAGCGCCTGGACCTGACGCCGGAGCGACGGTTACCATACCGGTCTCTGGTGCATTGATGGTTGCCTCGTTCGTCTTCTCTTGTTGCCGCTTTTATGAGGCACTGAAAAGCTTCATTCCTCCAATCAGTTATATTGATGATGATATGATTCTTTTGGCTGTGTACGTGAAGTTACTACTACATAATAAACATACAATTCATATTTTATTATTTTGAAGGTGCAAAACTACAAATTATTGTTCTCTGATCATAATCTCCTTGGGATAGCTCCTTCAGATTCAAACAATATATAAATTCGTGCTGAGTCCTTGTTTCTGATGATGAGAATGGGGTTGAGCCAGACTTATCACAAACTCTGCATCAATATTCGCGGTCGAGAAGGAGCAGACTTGGGTACTCAACGAACCATTTTCCGGCGAGATTACAGACCACCACCATCACTAGGGGTGGGAATAGGCCAGACCCCTTGTAGGGGTCTACGTCCAGGCCTAATTAAAGCCTATCTAGACCTAGCTCGTTTAGTAAAAAGGTCAGGCTTGAACCAATTTCGAAAGCCTATTGAACTAAACAGGCCAGACCTATATTTACCAGGCTCGGCCTTCAGGCCTACAGGCCTGGCATATATATATATATATATATATATATATATATATATATATATATATATATATATATATATATACTAGTATTTTATATGCGCGATGCGCAAAAAATATATGCCCAATATTAAAATTAAATATTAAAATCTTAGTTATATTAATTTTTTAAAAATAATAGTGTGTGTGTGTGTGTATTATATATATATATAATTGTATAATTCATATTAATATTATTCAGGTAAAAATTATAGAAATGATAATTTACTAAATATAACTATGGTAACATTTTAATTAAAACCTAAATGAATTCAAACTTACCATTGAAGGATGTAAGAAAAAATATTGTGTATGCATGTACATGGTAATAATAATGTGGAAAGATAACAGAAGTTATAACAGCAGGGATATTTTTGTCCAAAAAATTATGTAGTACAACTTTTATAGCACAAGGTACAAAAAAAGTTAACGGAAAACATGGACATAAACCAAGGGTATAACCTGGATTGAAGCTTATTATGTTTTTAGATATATATATATATATATATATATATATATATATATATATATATATATATATATATATATATATATATAGTATAACCTCAAGTATATATAATTACCAAAATCTAACTATCCACCTTCAAAATTCCATTCTAGATTATGATTCAACTATAAATATTGTTGTTAATCCTGATGTAAGTGTTTTTATTGTTTAATTGTTTTATTAACTGTTCTTATTATCATAATATTTAATAAAATGTCGCAACTTAATTATGTGAGTTGATTGTTAATTATTTGTGAGATCATATAGGATAATAAACAATAGTACAATTGAATTTATTTCT